AAAGTTGAATGAATCATCCAGGAGGAAAGAACCGGTAAAAAATACACACGGTCTAAGTATATGGTAGCCATATAAGCACATATTTCTAAACATGTCGGAATTTATACAAACCTTATTAATATTTGTTTTGTTATGCAGAGAGGGTTCACATATGAGCCACACCCTATCTTTGGTTATGCATTGAATGGATCGCAGCCGTCATTTAATATTTACGTTCAATTGTTTTTTTTCTATTGTTTTTTTAGTTCATATGAGTATATTTTGATGTACATCAACTCTTTTTATTAATTTTATTTATTTTGTTTTGTTTTATGTCTCATTATATGTTTGGTATATCTAATATTATTCGTCCATAATAAGAATAAACACGAAATTATAATATTTATAATTTAGTTATTTGGTTATATGTTTGTTATATATGAGGTAAATGCTTTTCTTTTTTTGTAATAAATTTGATGTCTAATTTGACATCTCTTTACGTTTTAATTCTGATTATGATTATAAGTGGGGTATATGCAATGTCAAGTTGCATTTTTTTAATATTAAAAGTCAAACATATAACATACATATACCCATAATACAACAGAAATACATTTTATAACCGAAATATACACATAATATAACATTTAATACATTTTATTCTTTATAAGTTCGTATAATATAACAGTAATATACCCAAATAATACACATACAATGTTGTTGTTATTTTATTTTGGAGACAGTAAGTATAATTCAAGAGTATGTGTGGTATCTTTTTTACTGGTGCATATGTCATAGTGCCATTATGTTTTGTGGTTGTTCACCACACATGTATATTTTCTGTATAGGGTCTACACTTTCTTATAAGTCAAACATACGCATACTAATACAACACAAAATATAATCTCCAGAATAATTAGTTAATAACGATTCTAATTCAAAATATACATAACAATTATTGGACTATAACCTCTTCGGATTCCTACAAGTTTTCACATTGTGCCCTTTCTCATTACACTTGCTGCACCTATTTTTTGACCTATGCTTCCATACGGACTTTACCCGTTGCTTGCGTGGTCGCCCTGGCCCAACTCTTGCATTTGGTGGACTTATTAAAGTGCGGTCACTCTGCGCCTCACTCGTGAATGCAATATCTCCTTCAATTGGTATAACAACATCCTCATACGTTGATAACATTGTAGAGTTTAGGTAGTACGCAGAACAGAATGGAACCAGATCGAGGTTTAGTGACTTTATAACACGTATAGCGTGCGGGCACGACAGCTCATCAACTTGAAAGCGGTGGCATGTGCAGGACTTTGACTCTGTGTCCACTATAAAGGCTTTTCCGTCAGCTATCACCTTAAACACTTTGTCACTGGCTTTCTGAACCTGTTACACATTTTAGTATATTTGACGTATATTTTTGGTATATTTCAAGTAATAAGTCACGCAAAAAATAAGTACAATAAAAAAAATAAGGAGAACCATTAATACTTACAGAATATCTTGCTGCTATTTTTGGTAATTAGTTTCCAACATACTATGTGGCTTCTTTGCAAGAGTAGTAAATGTGCCTTTTGCTTCATCCTTGTTAGCCACATTCCATCTCTGATGCATGTCCCTAAGAGCCTCAAGTAGTGTTGTTATTGGTAGGTCACGAACGGACCGAATTGCAGCATTTATTGATTCAGCAGCATTAGATGTCATGGTAAAGTATCTATTATTGGGGCAATGAACTCGTGCCCACTTCTGAAAGCCAACTTTTTCTAGATACGTTACGACATCCGGATTCAACTTCATTATTTGAGACATATGCATATTGAATTCATCTACGGTATATGCCCTTGTTGCTGCATAAAACTCCTCTTTTACTGCTTGTGCCTCAGTCTTATAATGCATCTTCAATTTGTTTGAGATATGATAGGTGCATAGACAATGCACCGCATTTGGGAATACCTATAAAAATATAAGTATAATTGATGATTGCTCAGTGTATGTACTAGTTAATATATATATGTAACCCAAGGAACAATACACAATTCAGTAACTAAACAGTATACGTACCATTAAATATACTCAATTATAACTTCAAATATACCATTACCTGTTCCACAGCGTGTCTTATGCTTTCGTGACCATCTGAAACAATGCAAAGGCCAACCCTGTCACCAATAACAGCTTGCAATTTGCTAAAAAACCACATGTATGAGTGGTTATTCTCTGAATCAACAACACTAAATGCAAGCGGTAAAATGTGAGAATTTGCATCTTGACAACATGCTGTTAACAAGAGCCCCCCGTATGCCGATGTCAAAAATGTGCCATCGACAATAACAATTGGCCGACAATGGGCCCATCCTTTAACAGATGCTCCAAGTGACATGAATACGTACAAGAAATTCTTCTCCGGAGTGGTGCTCACCCTAAAAATGCTACCCAGATTTGATGCACGTACCTTCAAAAGATACTGATGAACATAATTGTAAGATTGGTCAACTTTCCCACGTACAACATCAACAGCTTTCCGTTTTGACCTCCATGCTTTTTGGTACGTCAAGTTTATCCCAAAACGAGTTTGCATGTCATCCACGATATTTCAGGGGGATTATATGTTGTCTTCGTGTTCGTGAATTTCGTCTTGATAAAATCGCTAACAACAGTTGAGGTAGCTTGTCTCTGGTTACTTGTTCGAACATCAAACGGACATACATGCTCAGTCCCGACAGCCCTAATCTTAAAAGTGTTTGACTTACCCAAGCGTGATGCTCTCACAAACCATGAACAATCGTTCGACACACACCTTACTGTGTATTGTTTGGAGCACGACTTCTCCACCTTGAATTGATATTGATTCTTGATGGCATGCATGGTCAACAATTTCTGAAGCTCTTTTTTATCCTTAAATAACCGACCGGCAAAAATACCGTAGTCAACATTTTCTTCTACTGTGAACCCCATCTCAGTACCAGGGTTTATGTTGAGTATATTTTCGGTATATGCGACGGCTTCTACCATATCTGCAGCAACATTCTTTGCGAAAGACATGAAATTAATCGAGTCATCTTCTACGTCAGGATACCTGTCAAGACCCGGGTAACTCAAAGGTTCAACATTTGTTTCATAATTCATATAAGACGTATTACGTTCTTTATCGAACAAATTCCCAGCAATACTATCAGCCTTCACCTCCAAGCAAATAGGAAACTTTGTGTAGTCATCTTCTTTGTACCTCAAGAAAAAGTAGAACCCAAGACTTCTATCATTTTTTATGGTTATTGGTGGACTCCCTTCCTTCAGCTTATATTTCAGTTCAACGGCACATGATTGCGATATCACCCCGAAATCATCACACAATATACCACAGAATTCTTTGAAGTTGCAATCTTTTTTAACCAAAACACCAGTCAGACTGTAATTCACATACTCGTTCTCGATCCATTCACCGCCATGATGTACTAATATCATCATGATCGAATCCATCTACAAAAAAAAAAGAAAAAGAAAACGAAAACAGAAATTAAACCTTAAAATTATAAAAAAAAAATCAAAATTGTATGGTTTTAAAATATCCGACAAAATAACATAAATATACCTCGAATTATCTGAATCGTGAGGTCACGATCTGCTGTAGTATATTTTCTGTGAACTTGTTGGATTGAACTACTCCGATTTCTCACGATTTTTTTCTGTGTAGTATATGTTCGGTTTTTTTTTTGGTTGCTGTAGCGCTGAAGATCACGTCTGCAATTCAAATGTCGAATCTCCCCCATAAAAATAGGCCTGATACGAATTTGAAATAAAGATCACGTTTTTCTTTTTTTTTTTCTGGTTGGGCGGAAATCACGCAATACATGCTGAGTTGAGAACGTTACAAGGTAACTGATAATGTTGCAATCTCTTAAAAAAAATAGCTGGAATAGGTATATTTGAAAATACTTTTAAATAAGGGTAAGATTGAAAATATTTTATTATCTAGTAGGAGGTGCAAAAATTTCCCTAAAAGGTTCACGTGGCAATAGCAATTGAACTCATTTCGAACAAATTCTCTAACGAACGAAAGAAAATAAAAATAAAATTATATTGAAAATAATTTAAGTAGACGAGGATATCTACAAAAATTATTTAACTATTAATTAGACGAGGACATTTAATTAATCTCGCCAAAATTATAAGCTAAGCCAAATTAACCGAACAAACAAACAATACACAACGCAAAATAAATCCACACAGGCATATAATCAACCGTCTCCTCACACTCAATTGGGGAACTAAAATTACACTATGCGCATAATAGTACACCAAGCCTAAAATTTGAACTAAAAGCAAGTACATGATTATAAATAATGTAAGCAATAATAAGACAAAAACAAAGAATAATATAAAGGCAAACACATAAGCAAGCACATAATAATAAAATAAACGCAACTAAACTAAACAAAATGCGAGAACTTATATGAACTGAAATGGGCGCTACACTC